GTAAGTGCTTCATGTGTCTGCTGGTCATGCCCTCCTGTGTGAGGAATCTTGACTGTATCAACAAGGTCTGAAATGGGAGAGTGAGACCTCGACTTCTTATGTTGAAATTCTTGACTTCTTTTTCGTTATAAATATCTCCTAGTCAAGCTCCTTACTAAAGTGATATATACAATGGTGCGATCATTTTACACTCTGCTTTGGGGAGTACTCAACATTGTCACATTTGTGTACTGGAAAGAGGGGCAGAGAGGAGGGATTGCATGAGAGAGCAGATTTTTATTGCATATCTCCTATGATATAGAAGATACACCATTGCCATAAAAGTAATAATAAGTCCAACGTTGACATTTATATTGCACTAAGTGGTCACGATTAAGAAATGTGTCCTCAGAATGCTGAAACTATTTACCCTTCAAAAATCACCATTAACATTCAGCCTGTTGATAGCTTTTCAGTAGAAAACAGAACTCTGAGTTCCCTTGAAGCCCCACTTAACACTGCCTGTTGCACAAATGGCTAATTTAGACTAATTATCTGCTTCTAGCCTTTTTAATAATGTGCCACATCTCAAATGGGTGAAAATTTTGAAAGGATGAATTTATGCACAAAAGTAGCAACATAAAAGTAAAAAGAATGTTATCCAAAGAACAAGAATAAAAGCAATTAATGAATGACAAATTAGCAACAGAGAAGCCCAAATAATAATCCCCATAAGGAAACCACCAGTCACAGAAAGAGGCAATCCTGCCTGCCCTCCTTTCCCGTCACAGGGCTGCTTGCCATAAACTTCCTAGAACATTCATCACCTGTTGCTCCAGATCACCTGTTCTCTGAGTGAAGTGCCTCCTGGTGCCTGGAGCACAGTCACACCCAGAGCAGGAAGGGAGCACCCTAGCTTTTTCCGGACAACAAAGCACTGGTTATTTCCAAGTCTTCTTCCTGATCTTCAAAGCAGGACAACAACTGAATGTGGTCTTGACTAGACTGATGGTAGAGGAAGAAATAATCTTTAACGGTCTTATCATTTCATATAAGAATTCCCTGACCATATGCAGCGCTTTGTTACAAAAAACATAGACAAAATCTGCGCAATGGAAGGCTTTATTGTTGATGCTGCTGCTGTCTTTTACAGAATTTCAAGGGATCACATTCCTCAGATTGAATGAAAAGCTCTATCAGCAGTGGTTCAGTTACATAACTTAAGAAGTTCAAAGTTACTAGCATTAAGTGTCCAAGTCCTGAACCTAACAGCCACATAGCTGGCCACAGCTCCACCTCTGATCTCCCTGCAGACATCACCTGGGCTGGACAAAGGCCACCCTCAAATTGTTTCCTTTTGTGAGGGCTGTATTATGTATCTCTGCTGTAATTGGAAGTGGAACGTCCCCTAAAGGTCCATGTTTAAAAGTAAATGGCACTATTGTGAGATTGTGGTAGAACTATTGGGAAATCAAGTCTGTTGAAGGCATGTGCCTAAAGGATATTGTGGACATGATCTCTTCCCCTCCCAACTCTTCATTGCCTGGATAATACTGAAAAGTTTTTCTACCACATGTTCCAGTCATGACATGCTGTGTCTCCACAGACCCACAGCAGTGGGGGAGGTAGGCGGGGGCAGAAACTGAGTCCTTAGAAACCAGGCCGAAATAAAACTGTTCTCTCTCTAAAAAAAAAACTGGTTACCTCAGCTATTGGTTAAAGAAAAGTTGACTAGCACACTCCCCCAAAAATCATATGTTGAATGCTAACCCCTAGTAAACCAGAATGTGACTGTATTTGGAGATAAGAAGATTAAAGAGGAAATTAATTTAAAATAAGGTCATCAGAGTCTACCCATGTAAGATGACTGAGTCCTTATAAGAAGAACAAATCAGACACACACAGAAGGACCACATGAAGTCAAAGAGAAAGGTCTCAGAGATAGCAGCTGTGCTGACACCTTGAGCTTGAACTTCTGGCCTTGAGAACAGTGAGATGAATTTCTATTGTTTAAGCCACATAGCCTACAAGACCTGGTTACAGCAGCCTTCGCCAACACTTTTCTTCAGGTGAATCTCCTTAATTCTAAGGAATATTTTCTCAATCCAAATCCAAAATGGTTTAAGTGCTGAATGCATCGCTGGAACCTCTGTACTCTGTTGTCTACACTTGCAAAGCAGGCCATCAATCTAATAATCCGCCTCCTTTTTTGTTTGTTTAGTCTTTTTGAAACAGAGTCTCCCTGTAGCCCCAGCTGGCCTGGAACTGATCCACCTTCTTATAACTAGAAGTCAAATAATCCATGTTAGCTTTTGGGTTTCATCTTTATTCTTTAATTTTCACAGAAACTCTCAAAGTTTTGTCTCCATTTTAAATGACAGCAAGACCAAGGTTCAGATTCTAATGATCCACCCAACAGGCACATGCAACTCAAATTTGATTAAGCAGTAACTTGGCTACAAAGAAGTTTTTGAGGCCTGGATGCAGCCAGGGTTTGTAACATAGAGGTACTGAGCTGCTCTGGACATAGCCCCACAGTTGGCGGGTGGGTGTTATATGGGGTTTCCGACTTCAGAATCATGTTCTGAACCATTACAAGTCACTGCCTTTCCTCGTCACCATGGAATGTATTATGATTTAAATCAAATGCAGGAGTTTATATTGTGAGCTGCAAAACCTGAAACCTAATTCTCTCCTGACCTTAATTTAAGCCATTTGAATTTTTTTTAGTAGTGCTATTTCTCTGACTTTCTTAATTCCCTATTTGTCTATTGAATTCCTTACAGTTTCAGCTTTATGCAGATCTCCTACCTGTACAGCCAGCTTTGTCCTAGTCCCAGTTAACACACGAGTTTCACAGGAACTAGAAAACAGGAGCAGGCCTTTGTTCCTGTAAGCACCCCCTCCATTTCTGTGTGCTGTGATAAGGGAAGACACACTTTCAGGATTGACTTCCCCATCCCCATCCTCCCAGTCAGAGACTGAGAACACTCATAAAGTTTGCTTAAAGAATAACCAAACAAGTTGCAGAAGCCCAGCCCCTGTATTTACTCAAAGGTCCCCATAAAGACCTCAACTCTCTTCCCTCAGTCCGAGCCCAGCACAACTTCACCTACTTCTGTGTTTCCAGCGTGTCTGCTTCTGGCACTTGCTCTTCCAAGAGGGGCAGAAAGATCTAGAAATACACATTTCTTCACTGATTTCCAAGTTCTTATACTTTCCTGAACCACATACTTCAAAATAATGTCCAATTAGGAAACAGAACTAAAGATATACCTCTATCACATTTATGTTCCACCCTGATGCTGCCCTCATAGACTTCCTGAGGCAAAGCCATGGGAGGGTGGGAAAGGAGACAGACAGTCCATGCTCCTGGATGGCTAGAGGTGGGTTAGCTCATAAACTGTATTGAATAGGAGGTGCTGGCAGAAGACCAGGAGGGAGCAGTCTCCATCTTCTGGGTTATTTACTTGGTAAGAGTGCTAATCACTGACTACAAGCTTGGTTCCATTAAGATGCAAAGAACATACAGGGCAAGGCTATTTTCAGTCTGCGAGGATAGGTGCTCTAAAGATGAAATGAATGAGGGTCACCAGAACAGACAAGGGTGTTTGAGCGGATGAGTGACAACTAATAATTTCCATGTAACTAAAACCAAAGCAAATTTGATTATAAAACCATTTAGCTAAGGAGCATTTACATAACACTTATCCAGAAAGGGACAAGAGAGGCTTTTAGAGTTTTGTGGTAACTTCATCAGTATAAAAACAAAAATCATCACTCCTAATAGAAATGTAAGAATTGGACTTGTGATAAAAATCACACCTGGTTTGCTCTTCTCTCAATAAATTTTGCCTATGTATTTAGTATTTTTAAAAGTTTTTTTTACAAGTTTTTTAGCAGAATAAAATATTAATTTTCCCCTTACACATTATTACAATCAGTTTGGTTAATGTGAAAAGACGTGATCTGCAGGGTAACAGGTGCTGTGCTCTTATCAGCCAAATGCTCCACACGACGCTGTGCCGTGCTTCAAAAGCAAAGGGTACACTGAAATAAAATCACCCAAAATGTTCTTACATGTTTATACCCTACAATAGCAATCACCACCTTTGGTGCAGGTTTTTCTTAGGAAGTACCAACTGGCAGGGGTAACTACCCAGAGTCCAGTTGAAGGTCACCAATTCCACCCAGCTACTCATTAATCCCCAGGAAATCTCCTGCATCCTGGCGGTTATTGTTCAATCTTTTATAGACAATTTTCCAAGTATTCCAAGTACTTGTTCTCTCTTGGAACACCTGCAGCCAGTCAGGTCGTGTGTGTATAGAGAAAGAACTCCTTTCTTCTTAAAAAGAGATTGAATTTCAGCTTCCCTATAAAGAACAGTTAGGAGGCCAGTGGCTCAGAAAAAGCCACTTTAATTGAGCTTTGGCTTTCTTCTCTTTCTTAATGGGGAAAAAGGGTGAAGAAGTGAGGGGAAATCAAGGAACAGAGAATGAGGTAGAAGAGGCAGAGAGAGCCAGCTCTCAGTTCCTTTCTGCCACTCAGATATATCCTTGCAATGGGCACAGAGCAGTAAGGCTCTAAAGAGGAACCAAAAACCTGAGGAGAATGTGCACTGAGAGGGACAGTCTTGAAGAACAGCCTCACACGGACCACTCGCACAGGACCCTGAAAGACTGGGCAGTGCAGGGCCTAGGGAAACTGGAATCCAGGCTCAACAGCAATGGGTGAGCGGCAAATCCAACCACCTGCTTCTGAAAAGCTGAGCAGCTCTGTCAATGTAGTCCAATGAATGCAGTTCTACTATCGTGAAAGTTTGGCTAGCAAAGAGTCTTTTGTCGATATAGAGTGCTAAAAACAAATTAAAACTTTGCTCTCTAGTCTAGGAAATACTTTACCTTGGCATCTAATGTCTTCTACGTCATTCTAATATTTAAAAGCTGTGTAAATAAAGAGAAGTTATTCTACAACCACAAATTAACTATAGTCCTCCAATGTTAACTGAATGCTCAGTAAGTTTTAATTATCATGCCCTCCAGAAAGCAAGCTCTTCTGAAGTCAGGTAAGTTCAGGTCAATACTTCTTCCTCCAAAATAGCTTCCCTAGCACTTATTTGTATCCTATAAGTAAAAAAACGTTCTCAAATTAAGTTTTAGGATCTTCTGAATATGTACTACTAAAAACTAGTATGTCTCAATTCTGAGTTAAAAGACTTATATTCTCTCTCTAGTCATTTGAAATCTAGGACAAAATCTATATCTCTTTTAAAAACAAATATTTTATCTATAAATACAAACAAATAAAATTATTAAGTCCCTCTTTCAAAGTAGCTTCAATAAATTTTCTAAAGGGATCATCACAGACAAAGCTCCAAACATCCTCTGTGGAAATATGCAGAGAAATTATTTACAAAATCATCTACTAGTTACCACAAATTGTCCTACAACTATATAACTATAGTCGGGGCTCATAGAATCTTGCAGAGGGCTTCTCAAGGTAGAGTTAGAAAACATTACCTTAAGTTAGTGGATGGCAGGTCAACAGGCAGTGAAGGAGTACCTGGAAAAGGACCCTGACCTCTGCATGCATGTGAGGAATTTAAGGTGCACTGTGAGTTGGTAAATGGGGAGAGAATCATGGGAACTGCATACTTAGACAAAGCAGAATCTTGTGAAATTTCTTTTAAGTATTTCCAAGCAAAGCAAGATTCATTATTTCCACTTCTTAGATGTTGACAGAAACACATAGTAATTCAGCCAAACAAAGTAGCATTGATCTAGTCTTTGTAAGAGTTGGTATTGGCCTGACTTGCATCACAAAACACTTCAGAGCCTGCAGCCAAAGTCGTGGTTGAAGGAGATATTCCTGTACCATCAGGAATATGATCCCTACCATAGAAAAAAGCAAACAGTTTAGCTCAATTGAATTTTGTTTGCTTAAAAATAAAACAAAACAAAAAAACTCGAATCCCCAAATATTGTCGGTGGCTGGCTTTAGTTTTATAGGAGGCCATAGCTCCCTAAAGCTATTGGGTAACTAGCTAAACGCAGCAGATCCTGTTGAAACCTGCACAGTTGGTATAAAAACAGATGGACCAGGACTTCCGCAATAACTGTTTGGATGGACAGGTATATAGTTAATTATTATGTTTTTCTTCACTCTTTCGGAATCCATAAACTGTTTGTCAAGGTCAGGGCATGGGCATTCTGTACTTTCTAACAGGTCATTTATCCCTACAATATTTTTTTTTTTAAGAAAGCACAAGAGAAATAGCTTTGAAGCTCCAAGGGAAAAGCCAACAGCCTGGCTGGAGACATAGCAAGCAGCAAAAAAAATGAAGAAAAATCCTTTGCTTAAATATTTTATTGTTTTGTCCTTTTTTAAGCTGCATATTTTGAATTATTATTGTATGCCAAGTGCTCAGCTAAGAACTTTACATATGTGATCTTTATTTTCACAGCAAACTTATAAAGTAGACATTTTATTACCATTCCCATTTTTCCTAGAAGTCAGAAAATGTCACAAACCTTTACTGAGGTCAAATAGTGATTAAAAACAAAGGTGAACAGCCGGATGTGATAGCACATACTGTAATCCCTACACTTGGGAGGCTGAGGCAGGAGGATCAAGAGTTTGAAGACAGCCTAGAAAAAAATAAGACCCTGTCTCAAAAACAAATAAACAAGGAAGAACATCAAAGCTGAGATTTGAACTCAGTGTCCTGACTCTAAATTTCATTATTTTAATTATTGTATATTTTTACAACCAAATTATCTTTTGTGGTGAAATGACTTGGAGCCAACAAAATTGAATTTATATCTTATACTCTGTGATCACATTCAAATAAAAGGTAATGCTTAAATGCTGAACCACGTATATATCACCTTGCCATTATCTTTCACCAAGGATTTCATAAAACACGAAGATATATTCTAAAAGTCACAGCTAGAAAATGCAAGTGGTTATTTGCACAGCCGTTCTATTCTATTTGACCTTAAAGCATCATGCATGTTGTTTAAGGAAGAGAGTGATGAACCTTGTTTCTACCCAAACAAAGCTCCCAGAAAACCACCAGAGCACCACAGAAACATGCTAAATTAGCTAGACCTTCTGCTTTGGGGAGGCTAGTATTACTACACTAGGAAATTCTAACTATTAATATACCTAAATGCTGCAGAACGGTTCAATTAAATGCTGCGGTCCTTTTGGAACTGTAGGACTGTTTATATATTTGTAAATGGAGCTTTCCTGTTTTCTGCCTCAGGATGCCTCAAAAAATAACATCAATATGATCAAATCCCCATTCCTACCACACACACATACACATGAGAGAGAGAGAGAGAGACAGAGACAGAGACAGAGACAGAGAGACAGAGACAGAGAGACAGAGACAGAGAAACAGAGACAGAGAAACAGAGACAGAGACACAGAGTGACAGAGACACAGAGACAGAGACACAAAGAGACAGAGACAGAGGCAGAGAGACAGAGAGACAGCAGCAGAGACAGAGACAGAGGCAGACAGAGACAGAGACAGAGAGACAGAGTCAAAGTCAGAGACAAAGAGTTTATAGCAAGAGCTCAAGAGAAACAATAAATACGGTATTTGAACAGGCAACTAATTAATGCACTTAGCCTACATTGCTCTCAGCTCTCTGTTAAGTGTAATGTATATTGTTTTACCTGTGTAATCAAGGGCTGCATCTCATGCTGTCCACACCTCAGCCCAAATAATCAAAGCAGATTCGACCCAATAAAGAAACAGTATGTAAAGGTAATATATCTTACAGCCTTGTGAGTGTGTGCATGGCTAAAAGTTCTTCAATAGCCTTTCTGTAAATTTCTGATTCTGTTATTGTGGCCTTAAAAATCAAAATATCAGGGCTGGAGCAATGGCTCAGTGGTTAAGAACACTGGTTGTTCTTGCAGAAGACCCATGTTCGAATCCCAGCACCCACATGGCAGCTAACCACTGCCCGTAACTCCAGTTCCAGGGGATCTGATGGCCTCTTCTGTCCTCCACGGGCATTGAATGACACATGTGCACTTCCTACATGCAAGCAATACACTCATACACATAAAATAAAAATAAATAAAATATTCTTTAAAAAAATTCTAAAATATTCAAACTATCAAAGCTAGAGAAATGGCTCATCAATTAAAAGCACTGACTGCTCTTGCAGAGGACCTAGGTTTTGTTCCCATCTCCCATATGGCAACTAATCACCCTTAACTCCAGTTCCAGGGGGTATGATTCCCTCTTCTGGACTCATGGGCATTGAATATCTTGGATGCATGTACATACATGCAGGGAAAATACTCATACACATGGAAGAAAAATAAATAAAAACAAATCTATTCAGAGTCTGTCATGCCAGTTACAGCATTATTCAAACATTTACTTACTAAGACTTTGACACCGTTTTTAAAGGGCCTGCATAAAAAAAAGTGACATAATTGTAGAAAAATTAAAGAAAATACGCTCTTTTACAAAAATAATAGTTCAAAAATAACCATTAAAGTGATAGTTTCAGTCATTTGGGTGTTTTCACTGCCAAAATCAGTGATTTTTCTATTCATTTTGTAAATACAGCCCTCATCGATTAACAGATCCACATCAGCCTGGAAGGAATTGTTTTACCAACATGTAACAATTTTGAAATCATCCTCGAAAAATAAAGGCATAATAAAAAATAGGCCGTGGTTGCATGGCGACCCAAACGCAAACCTGCCAACCAACCTGCAGCCTGTATGCACAACCACAGCTCTCCAAGGGACAGGCGAGGCTGAAAACCACAGGTTGATGAGACAGGATATGACATTTTCAACCAAGCCCTAGGTATGAAAGTGCATAATAAAGTGTGAGGTCCTTTCTTATTTAATAAACCAGTGATCAGCTCAATTGAAATAAGCACACCAGTGTCAGTGGTAACCAGGCAAAAGAGTCCCGAGGAAATTACCTTCTTAGATAAACAACACCCTGCAGATTTATATTTATGTATTTTACTAGTGTTGATAAGAGACTAAGGTCTGTATACATGGCAAACATTCAGGGCATACTATCCTTTTAACAGGACATGCTTGGCCCCAGGGATATCAATAGTGATATGAAGGCAAAAATCAGAGAAAAGTACTGACACTTGAAAAAGTGTAAAAATTCCTAAGTTCTAGTATTTTAGCTGAAATGATCAATGAAGAGGAGTTGTACCAAAATCAGCCATTGTAGTTTAAAGTGATTCAATATCTCTCTTAGTGACACAAATTTTTTTTTAAAAATTACCAAAATATTTTGCTTTGAGACAAATATAATAGACTATAAATCAAGCTTCCAAAAGAATCATTATAGACTTCTTTTGTGATTCTCTATCTTTAGGCTCACCTTTGCCCAAGGAACATCCAGAAACCCATTCAATAAACTGCATTTTGAAGCATTCATCACACACGTTGTAAGATGGCTTGACCATTCAACCTAGAGCCTGGGGAATTGCTTTGTTGTTACTTACTTACTTACTTATAAGAACAAAGGAAACTTTGAGCCATTGGTTGGGATGAAAAGTATCCATATCATTGTGATATTAGGGCCTTTTAATCATCTTTACATAAGACAAGATTAGAATGCCTTAGTTATGGGATGTTAAATACTTATTCTGTAATTGCAATAGACAGTATGCTTTCAAAGTGGGAGAATTAAATTAAAAGAAAGACAACTCTGGAAAATGTACTAGTGGTAGAATTAGAGAACATTTCATCCGATCCTGATGTCTCCACAGTAATGAATCTGCCAAAAGATAATAATATTTTAGTGAGAGGTATGATTGGATAAGTCACATTATTTATTAGCTGTTACCCTAAAATATCACTTTTGTCTTATTATTAAGAATGGTTAGAGGGCAGCAGGGATGCCTGACACAGGGTATTAAAAATAGATTGTGTCTATCAGGGATTTTGGATCTGCAGAACTCCATACTCTGTGACAGACTGCCAATGCATTCACAGCCCACAAACGAGAAACGTCTCAATGTCATGGGTTCAACCAACCATCACCCAAGTCTTTCCCAATGTCCCCTAGAAAGAGCTTCTTTTAAATTTCTAATTTTGTTTGTTGAAGAATTTCAATAAATATAAGTATTTGAGAAGATGGGGACCAGGAATGTGAAGGTTATGAAAATTGATGGGAAAGTTATAGCCTGAGGTTATTCACACTACCTTTCATGATGGGATTAGCTTGACTGTTTAGATTCCCTATTGTATATAATAAATATTATCATGATGGAAAATAGATTCTACCAAAGAACAAAAAGTCTGCACTGCTTCAAGGAAAGGGGATCTGGAAGTTGAGGCAGCAGAAGAAGTTCATTACCTCTCAGGTCACCAATACCTTACAATTATTGGGACATTTAGAGGTCACACACAAATAATAACCCCAGTCTCCTTTTCTTGATATATTGGGTATATAGTAAACTCAGAGGTCTTCCTTGGTATGTTAATTGTACATATTCAAATTCACAGTACTTTCCTGTCTACATCTCTGTGGATCACAGAAACATAAGATAGAAAGTGTTCCCTTCCCCAGTGTTATGGAAAGGAACAGTTTCTCAAGCTCTGCCCCTGTTGGAGGCAGAATCAAGCTACCTTACATCCATCTATATTTCCACACTACTGGTGTTGCCTAGACACTGCACACCTTCCAGACCCCGACCCGGATTATATCATCCTGAAATTATTCACGTTCATGTTTCATCTCATTTATCCGTACTTCGAAATGTAGCTCTTGCTCTTTTGGATTGTATTAACAGTGTCTCGGTATTTTATTTTATTTTCTACTGATCACATTTAAAATACTGGCTCATAGTTCAGGCAAATAAATTAATGCATATAAAAATGCCAATGAATGTGGAATAGAACTTTTTATTTAGTCGAGTGTTTACAGAACATTGCATCAAGATCCAAAATAGTAACAGAGTTAATAAATTAATTGGTCACTTGATATAAAACCAAACAACAAGAAGAAAACCAGCCAGCTTTCTCTCTCTAGCATTCACATCGTGACTTGGTTTTCTGTTGACTTTCCTCACATAGTTGTTTTAGAACACATCTTCATTGAGGGGCAGCAACTTCAGAGACTGTGAAACAAGTGTTAGCTGTGGTCATCAGGACACATGAAGCTCCTACCATCCTCACCATCAGATCAGTTTCATAATTTCTAGAGTCCAGTACAAAATGAAAATGGGATCTTGGTTCAAAAGCAGAAAACTGACTTCACCTTTTCTCCCATAGCCTGTCTCTTTAAATTTCATGGCATGTTTTATTATTGTTAATGTGGTTATCCCTCTGTTCTAATGACTCTTGCCAGATGAGTGTGGGCAAGTCTGGGATGAGGTGCCTACATCTGGGAGCTCCCATCCCCAAACCACACCCAGGTCACTGGGAGAATTGAGAATTGATAGCTTAGGAGGCAAGATGTTGGAGTGAGATCAGAGACAATATTTTCACAATCACTGAAGGCATTTGGTCAGTCACCTTACAAAACACAAATTTAAAGACTCCTGAAATATTGAAAATAATGAGTTGATATTTGATAACTAGGGTACAGGTAACATATTGTCCTTAAGGTCCAGTTGAGAAATTTAAAACATGAGCATAAACACTGCAGCCAGCAGCTCCGCTCATTACACTGTTTTGAGCACCAGGCAGTGGTTTTCATTGCCCTTCAGTGGAAGTTTCTAATGCATCTCTTAATTGTTCTAGAGCAGTGCTCTTCAACAAGGCAGCCATTAGCCAAACGAGCCCATTCTGTACAATTGCAATGAGGCTAATCTATATGGGGATATACTTTAAGCATAAAATATACATGGAGCTGGGCATAGTGGCACATGCCTTTAATTTGGAGACAGCAGGTGGATCTCTGTGAGTTCAAGGTCAGCCTGGTCTATATAGTGAGTTCCAGGTCAGTTGAGGCTACAGAGAGATCAGTGACTCAAAATATAAAAAATAAAAATAAATAAAATAAACACTAGCTTTTAAAAAGAAGAATGTACAATATCATGTATATATAGTTACTAAAATATTGATTATGAGCTGAAACAACCCTATGTGATGTGTGGACTAAATAAAATATTATTAAAATTAATTTCATCTCTTTTTACCTTTTTAAAATGATTAGTAGAATATTTTAATTTGTACATAAGACTCACATGTGTGGCTTACATAATATTTTATTTCTCTATCATAGCATTATCACATGCTAATGGTATAGTTCCAAATATACTTCCCAAAGAACACCATACTCAGTCTATCCCCTTCTATGTTGTTCTTACATATTCTTTGTATTTCAAAGATTTCATTCCTTAGTTTTGAAAGTCCTCAAAGTAATATGTCTTGAAAATACTAGTAAGAAAATGTAATAGAAGTCAGGAGATGCTTGTACTCCTTTTCCGTTTAAGGAAAAAAGGGGGCCTGGAAAGATGACTCGCTGGTTAAGAGTACCGGCTGCTCCTCTGGGGAACTGGGGTCAGTTCCCAGGACCCACATGGCAACTAAGAACCATCCAAAGTTTCTGTTGCAGGGAATCTGATGCCTTCTTCTGGCCCCTATAGGCATTGCAAGCATGTAGTGCACTTACATACATTCAGGCATGGCACTCATTCACATAAAATAAAAATAAATAAACGAGTAAAAAATACTCAAAAATAAAATTTAAAAATTAAATTGAGCCAGACTGGATTCTTTCAAATACTAAGTCCTCAGTGTCTATCAGTATCACTACATGAGGAAAGACCTTCTATAATAGGGAATGCTAGGTGAATTTTGTATTAGAAACTCTCTTATATGTAAATCCTCAAGAATAACTCACAAAAGTTATGAGTTAATATGTGAGCTATTATTACCACCTCTGAAGGGCTCCTGACTACAAGGGGTCATGTGTCTCTCTAAGCAGTATGGCACTCACCTGAGGGAAAGAGGTCAAGCTTAAAGGGCATCATTCATTCTGACCTCATGATGGTGAAGAACAAACATTAAACCACCTGAGTGGAGGACTCCTCAGAATGAGCTGACTCTGTCTGACAGAGAGGAAACAGTCGTGGATCCACAGCATGATACATCCTTCAGGACATTTCAAATACATCTTCATCTTGGTTTTGAAGAGCACCAGGTAAGATTAGAGGTACTTTTGATGTTTTGGTTGGTAGCCTTAGCCTTTAGTAGTTGAGCCATCTCTAAAGGCCTTTTAAAAAGCCATATGGAAATCTATCACTATAGAAGCTTCTTAAAGTCTATACATATACATCATAGAAAGACATTAAAAGAAATTACCATCTAACAGGGGGGCATTACCCTTTCTAGACATCATAGGTTAAGGAAAACAACCCTCAATGCCAGGAATGGACTTCTGTGAGTCATTTTTCTAAATGATACATGTTGTAAACATACTCCTGTCATTGACCTTCCAGAGCAGAATACCAGCATCCATTCTGAGCAGCATCAACCCCTTCAGGATTTAGTTTCTTTCATAGAAAACACTGAGAACTCCCACAGGCCTTGACTGAGTCCTCCTGAGTCTTAACTCTTGTTCTGTGACTTTTATTTTAAGCAAAATTTTGTTTGTAGGCTGAGTAAAAATTATCCTGTAAAGGACACTGATTACTTGAATCCAGGTTGTCCTTGAACTTGGGGTCCTCCTACATTAACCTCCAAGTGCTGAGATTACAGGTATGGGCAACCAAAAGTGGCTTTAGCCAGATTTCTAATGATTTCAACTGACTTGAAGAGCCTCCACCACATTATGTGTGGCAATCATCTTACCAGATCTGTCCAAGAAAATGTTAATATACTTGAAGAAGCAAAGCAAAATGAAAGAGAGCTAGAACCCTCACAGAACATCCAGCATCCTGACTAGATTTTGAACTAAGTATTTGGAACTATGGCACAGCTAAATTGACACATTAAGTGAACCATCACAACATCCAAATGGATCCATCACCTAGAACCCAGGGGGCTAAATACCTTGGCAAAAAGCAGCACTCTCGTTGTAGCAATAAATAAAATAATAATAATAATCAATATAAAATAAAATGAAAGGAAGATAATATACAGATTAAATAAACTTCTCAAAGTCCCCCAGCTGAAGAAAAGAAGGAAGGGAAAGTTCCAGGAGATGGGGGTCATGAAGAACCACGTCAAAGGGCAAGAGATGACTCAGCAGGTAGAAGCACTTGCTGCTCTTCCAGAGAACCAGAGTTCAGTTTCCAGCACACACCTGGTGGCTCACAACCACCTGTGACTACAGCTCAAAAAAAATCCAACGCCCTCTCCTGGCCTCTGCAGGCACCTGCACACACATGGCACACACATATAAGAAAAATAAAAATCAGCCTTAAGAAAGAATACTGTAAAATGATGTCTTTGCATAACAAAATCACTTCAACCTTTCAACTTTTCTCAAATTGGATCAAATATGTGAGAGAAAAATTTTTTTTACAAAATACTAAATGAAATTCATGTATAATTTTGTAAGAGTTCATGATAATGAATTTTTGTTTTAAGTTGTGTGAGCTGAGGCCCAGCTGATTTAAATCTTTGGATTCTAAATAAAATGCCTACCTTCTATCATGTGGATGGGCCCCAACCAGCTGAAGTTTTCAGGAGAAGATGGAGATCTGGAGGAAGAGAGATTTCTGTGAGGCACCTCATGAGTATTGAGAACAGAACCCAGGTCCTCTACAAAAGCAGCAAGGGCTCTTAACTGCTAAGCCTTCTCTCCAGCCCAGAAAGAGGGATTTCTGCCCCCCAATGCACTTCAGACTAGACAGCAGCCAGTGCTGCTGTCCTGCTAGAAGTTTCAACCTGCCAGCCTGCCTTGAAAATTCAGTCCCGCAATTACATGAACCAGTGCTATAAAGCTTCTCTCTCTTTCTCTTTCTCTTTCTCTTTCTCTCTCTCTCTCTCTCTCTCTCTCTCTCTCTCTCTCTCTCCACACACACACACACACACACACACACACACACACACACACACACAAACATATCCTGTTCTGTTTCTCTGGATAACTCTGACTAGGACAGATGGAGAAGGGCTTATGGTATATATGGGCCCAGTATTCAAAGTGCTTTTCTTCCAAAACAGATGCCTTGCTGACCTTTAAACATGTAGTTAATTTACTCTCATGTTCCATTACGTATGCCTCACAACTGACCAATATGCAGCTCCAAGTGAGGGGAACTAAGTGTGTAGGATGCACACCCTCCTCACCATTGAGCCCCCTTTTGAGCAGCTACATTTCACCAGGTAATTGCCATGTATCCTTGTCATCTGCAGTGATTCTTCTGTCACTCCTACACTGTAACTATAACCCAGTTACACGCAGGTTGTACATTCAACCAGTGTACCAAACATGCTGTGAGTTACAATTACAAAATGTGTAGAAGGACAACTTGCTTCAGCAGCTAGGCTAGAAGGAAAAGCAATCAAAGGACTTTCACCAACCAACTTGCCTCTTAACTCATACCCAAACTGTTTTAAAGATTTCCAGGAAACATATTTAGCTAGCTTCCCCCATAACTAATCCCACAGTAAATGAGAAATCCACCTGCAAGCTGGATATATTGTCCACTCCATGGCACAGAATATTCAAGTGAGTCTCTAACTCAGCTAATAGTACGGTCAGACCAAATATCTGTACATGCGAAATTATTAAAGATTTGTTTACATGAGACTCCAGTGTTTGCCATGAAAATTCCTACAATTATAGTTTGATTAAAAAATAGAAATATTTTTCCCTTTCAAAATCAGTTTCAAGAAACCCTTGATAGGATCAGCTCATTAATTCCTGCCCTCTTTCACTAATACCTCATCTGAAGTCATGTGTTATAAATCAGTTTCAGTTGAGATATTAAAATCAGATTATAAGAGAAAAGCCTTGTAAATATTTGCCTCCAAATGAGTTTAAGAATAAATATATATTCAGTAATTCATCCATATTTAGCAGATATTAATAAGACAAAGCATAGCTTTAAGTTCACTTATCATTTAATACAAAGGAGGAAATAGGAAACCAGGCCTGATTAGCTTGTTTGTTCTTGGGCTTGGTAATACCTAATTAAAATTTGAACTTCAAAATTGATATAATCAGTCAAATGTCAGCAGAAATATTTATTCTGTAAATGAAGCTTTAGTTAATAGAACTTTAATGTGAAATATTTTATATGCCTTTCCCCTCACAAGGAAAAAGGAAAGAGGGTAGAGGAGTGTCGTTGGAATGGAAAATTAGCTCCTAGGTTTGGGTTTCTCTTCTAGGTCTGTGCCAACACTAGAGGTCAGCAACTTTCCAAGAATAATATAGCCAGTCTCTATTTCTTCACTCAAAGTTAGAACCTTAGAATTTGGAGTCAAAAAGCAGTACAATTAATGTCCTCACTTGCTGCTTCCTTAGAGCTAAATGGAAAGTCGTCTAGTGAGGTCTCAAGATATGGGCTATCTGGAGGCAGATCGAAACTCAGGACCCCATAATGTGCAGAGGTGGGGACTGTTATGGCCACTACGATCCAGAGAAACTAAATGCAAAGTTCCATAACTGGGGACAATTTTGTGGTCTGATAGTTTGGGAGGAACCTAGGGAAGAAGAAAGACCAGAGGCTTCCCCCGAGCAAGAGCCCTGGCAGGTACACGGGGAGGGACGCTGTGAGACTCAGGGTGCCCACTTTTGAGGGTACCTGACTCTTCTTTCTTGATCTCTCCTCCAATGGATCCCAAGCCTTGGACTCTAAATTCCTTTATTTCCAAATTCTAGAAGAAATTCTCATGGAGAAATTGGAGCCAGTTTCCAGCTAGTTTGGTCTTTATGAGGTTTGCAGCACTCAAACCACTGGAGCCGCCCTGGACTTGAGGCAGCCCTTGTCGCCTGGATCTTCACCCGGATGGCAGGTTTCTTGGAGATCATGGCCAACCAGCTGTGAGATCACATCCTCCTTTGTGGTGTCACCTGTCAGAAATTAACATCTGTGGGGCTGGAGAGATGGCTCAACGGTTAAGAGCATTGGTTATTCTTGCAGAAGACCGGGGTTCAAATCCCAGCATCCACAATGCAGCTAAAATTTGTCTGTAACTCCAGTTCCAGGGGATCCAAGTTACAGGGGATCCTGCAGCCTCTTCTGTCCTCCGTGAGCAAAGCACGACATGGGTGCACTTACCTACACGCAGGCAATACCCGCATACACATATAATAATAGTAACAACAACAACAACAATAATAATAAAAGAAATTAACAACTGTAGAGGCAGCAGTTGAGAAATGACTGCTCAGCAGGCTTCAGGTGTGCAGAGCCTGTCTGAATCCTGCCCTGCCTAGAACTCTGTAACTGCAGGCAAGTTTCAGAATTTGCTAAGCCTCAATTTTCTCATATTTAAAATTAGAGTTAGATCAGTCCAGATCTCAAAGTTTTTACATAGATTAAATAAAATATATGTATACAGGTAGAATCCTAACTACCTGGAATGCTTAGGACCAGAAGTGTTTCAGATTTCAGATTCTTTTAAATTTTGGAATATTTGAATATGTGTAGATATCTTGGGATAGAAACCAAGTCTAAAACAGAAATTTGAATGTGTTCTGTGTACATCTTGTGTCTTTAACCTGAATGTTATGTTATATATGCACCGTTTTTAGTGTGTTTACATTTTGATTGTAACCCAGCATATGAAATCAGACGTGGCACTTTCTACTTGTGTTATATCATTATGTCAAAAAAGTTGGGGATTTTTTTTTACTCAGATCTAGGGATTTGGAGCTAAGATCCACAAATGAGAGAGAACATATGTCGCTTGTTTTCTGACTCTGTGTTACTTCACTTAGTATGACAATTTCTAGTTCCATCCATTTACCTGCAAATTTCATTGTTTCATTTTTCTTTGCCACTAAGTAGAACTCCATTGTGTAAATGTACCACATTTTCATTATCCATTAGTCAGTCGAGGGACATTTAGGTTGTTTCCATTTCTTAGTTATTGTGAAAAGAGCAGCAACAAACATGGCTGAGCAAGGGTCTCTGCAGTGGGCTGAGTCCTTTGGGTATATGCCAAAGAGTGGTATGACCAGACCACATGGTAGATTTATTTTTAGTTTTCTCAGAGTTATCCACAATGGATGTACACGTTTACGATCCCAGCAGTGGATGAGGGATCCTCTCCCAACCCATGGCAGCATTTGAGGTCATTTGTTCTCTTATCTTTGGCCATTCTGACTGGGGTTAAATGAAATCTTAAAGTGATTTTGATTTGCAGTTCCCTAATTATTAAAGATATTGAACACTTGTAAAGGTGTGTCTTAGCCATTGTTTTTTCTTCTTTTGAGAGCTCTCTGTTCGGCTCCATAGGCCATTTTTAATTGGGTCATTTGTTTTCTTGCTTCTTTGGTTTTTGAGTTCTTTGTATACTCTGGGTATTAATCCTTTGTCAAATGAACAGCTGGTGAAGATCTTCTCCCACTCTGTAGGCATCCACTTCACTTGACTGATTGTTTCCTTTGCTCTAAAGAACCTTTTTTAGTTTAATGAGGTCCTATTTGTCAATTGTTGACCTTAATTCCCGAGCAAGTGATGTCAGATCCAGACTGCTGCTATCAGTCACTCAAATGAATTCACAACAATGGTGACAGTATTCACAAATCCCATACAAGCTGGACCAAACAAAATTTCAGCATAGACATGAGGAAGTGGATAAGAAATCCCAACCCAGCCTAAGGAATTTTGTTAATTAATGGCCGTTGTGGGGAGAACAGTGTCTTACAGGGATGAGGATCTTGGTGGACCCAGTGGATGGATCCACAGTGAAGGATATTTGGGGACACAAATCAAACTCTATAGGTGGTGTTATATATATAATAAAGTACATTAAATTGGGTGAGGGGCAGTGTGGGGAAGTGCAGATAGGGAGGGGATCTAAATACCATCAAACTATAATATATGAAAATCACAAAAATTCAATAAAAACTAATTTTTTTGAGTTTGGGATTTTTGAGCATTTTGGATTGAGAATTTCCATATCAAGGATACTCAACCTGTAACACAAGTCTTCCTTGTAAGTGAAAGAAAACCGATCCAAACTTTCTTACTAAAGAGGAGGAGAGTCTCTGGGCTCTGCATAGCATATGCCTGACAGTTCCTGCACTCTGTCCCTCCTGCCCCCTGTGCCTTGCCTGGATGGACACCTGGGCAAAGAAGTGAAAATATTGGGACCATTCTCTCGGTGTCACACCGTAAGTCAGTAAATTTCACCCATCCTTACTGTGCCTGTAACTCAAGGCCACACTCACCAATCTCTTCATCATTATAGCAACCTACACCATAATTTAGGCAAATTCTTCCATCATTCCTGTTTGTTTACCTGATGTTTTTATTCTTTCTCTTTTGTATGACACGATCTTTTGGAAACACAGAAGACAAACGTAATTTTATGACTCTTCAAATCAATCTAAATATGGGGCTGGAGAGATGGCTCAGAGGTTAAGAGCACTGGCTGCTCTTGCAGAGGACCCAGGTTTGATTCCAACACCCACATGGTAGCTAATAATTGTCTATCACTTCAGTTCCAGGGGATACAATGCATTGTATGACATGGGTACACTTACACACATGCAGGACACTGGAGGTCCTCCCCTGGCTTCCATGAGTGCACATGGGCACACATACTTTCATACATGTACACTCATATGCCAGAAACTAAGAGAGGAGAGAGAGACAGACAGAAACAGAGAGAGGCAGAGAGAGAGACAGAGAGAGAACAAACTGAACACCAATTCTCTCTATTACCATTCTATTCTTTTTCTGAAACAGACAATAGTTCATAAGAAGTATTTTAAGTTGGATGGCTATCCTTAGAATGCATTCTTTTTTCTTCAATAAATGCAAAAATTGACTTCTAGTTTTAGTATTTTTAGTAACTTTATGTAAAATTTCCCAATATAGAATTGCCTTTTCATTAAACGTGTTTTAAAATGCATGTGAATCGTCATTTCTTTGCATTTAGTTTTAATTTAACATGTCTTATCTTTCCATATCATGATCGTTTGCACTCCTCAATTGAAAAGAAGTTTGAATAGAAACCATTTACCTTTTCTCTTTATATTATTAATGAAAAAATAGATTGTCATGCAGCAAATCCATGATATGTAAGAATAAGCAGCATTTTTACAGTTTCCTCAAATCCTGTCTTTAAGTAATCAATCTGTCTTTGGTACTAGGTGCTATTTTGCTCTTTAAATCTTTGTGAAAGTTGTGATCATTGTTAATAACTACAAGGATTTTTTTCAGGAATTCAATGAACTTTTTATTGAATTTTTGTGTATTTCCTACAGAACATTCCAATAAATGTTAATCATCTTTATACCCCCTTGCCCACTGGCACCCTCCCATAGCCCCCACCCCCCACTTGAATTCAGACATTCTGTCATTTGTGTTAAGTCATATTGTGTCAAGTGAGTGTCCCCAGACGTCCCTCAGGACAAGTTCATCTACTGAGGCCTATTCAGCGTACTCAGAGTCCCCAGCTTTAGGGAGAGCAGCTCTTCCTCACCCAGCAGTAATCAGTTGCCAATATTTCTTCAGCTAAGATTGGGGTCAGCTCTTCACTTCCCCAGTTCTATGCTGGGTTTTTGTCTTAGTTTGCTTGAGTCCTGTGCATGCTGACACCATTGCTGTAGATTCATATGAGAAAAGTCCCAGGAGCTTGTAAGACTCTGTTTCCATATGGTCATGCACCTCCTCCCTGGCTCTTACAATCTTTCTGCCCCCTCTTCCACAATGGTCCCTGAGCCCTAGGTGGGTGTAGTTTAGTATAGGAGTCCTATCAAAGGACCAGCATTCTGTAGACTCTTAGTAGCTACACTTTGGCCATTTGTGACCTTTTGTGTTCCTGCCCCCCTGTTACATGAGGGAGCTTCATTAAAGAAAATTGAGATATTCATTAGTGTCTCCTTTGTTCTATGTTCTGTGACCCTTGGGTGTACAGGTTATATTGCAGATGTGCCACTTAGATTGGCAATTCACAGACAATATCTGGGTATGACCAGTTGTGGTACCCTGTTATAGTCTCCATCTGGTGCAAAAGAAGATTCTTTGATGAGTGGTGGATATTTGTCTGTAATATAAGGATACATATTTTGCACATAGTAAGAAATTATATTAGTCTGGGGATGTGACTGTTTGGGTGTTTTCTCTAAGATCTATGACCTCTCCAGCCATGTGTATTTGGCTATGTTTACAGTAGCACACATGAGTTACCTCCCACTGAGTGGAATTTTAGTACCATTAGATAGCTGTTGGATGCCCTCAAGATAAAAGTTCCACTACTGCACCAATGTTGTATGCTGTGCAGGTCATTGATGTGGTTGGTCTTGAAGCTGGTGTTGGACCATCAGCTGATGTTCTCCCCTAGCACCTTGCATAGTGCTTTCCAAAGCCATGATACTTACCTTCAGGGTAAGTGGCTTCCATGTCAGTTGCAGTTTTATTGCTCCAATCCTGTGTCCAAAGTATGTTCTGTCTTCAGCAGTAGGGTCTTACCTTCAAGTTCTGGGAAGTCATCAAGGGCTGTAGAAATAGCCTATATATTCTGAGAGTCTCTGGACCACCCAGACCAACAACTCAAAGGAAGGTTTCTCCTGTCTGGTACTGTTTCTTGTTATGTAGCCTTTAGCTGTACACATGAACTCATTTAGAGAGATTGTATGTTTATGTACTTTATCATTAGGTTGTTGGACTAATATGATTTCCTCTGTTTTTTTTTAAACTAGCTAGGCATTAATTAATCTCTTTCTCCCTGTCTAATTCTTCCACCATGGCTTTCCCATTTAAATTGGCCCCCTTTCCCCCATTTCTCTCTTGATAATACCAGTCTCCTATGGTCCCACCTCTCTTGAGCTCCTTCTTTCCTTTTATCCCAAAGTTCCTTGCATAATCCTTCCTCTCCTATCACATTTAACAACCCCTTTTATCAATTTCTCCCTTAGTAGCACCTCTCTCCTGCTGTTCTTCTTTCTCAAGTTCCTTCTTTCCCTTTACCTCCCTGGTTCCTTCTAAA